CGATACACGTACCTGATATAATACGTACCTGCGATGCGACCACCGGTGGTAGGATTAAAGCGACAGTGTTCTTCGCGAACATCCTACAACAGGGAAATATCAATATTAGTTTCTTTTAATTTATTATTTTATACTTACCTCATTGTGTAGAAGCATCTCTCTAAGTCCCACGATGACTCGATTTGCGAACATAAAAGAAGTATTTTTATATAATCATATATATATGAACCGTTTATTTTGAAAGTGGCCTAAGTCCATTTGTCAATTATTTCCGGTTGCCCGTGGTTACATGTACAACTTCAAGTTATCTATCAATAAAGCATTTAAGGTTACTTATATTCCGAGTAAATACGATAATTCTGGACACAAAAGTTTTCAGAGTTAGTTCAATAATTGAGCCATTTATTTTGAAAGTGGCCTAAGTCCATTTATACTTAAATTAAGATATTTATTATTGATAATGTCTTTATTATATGATAATGTCTAATTTTAATTAATTAGTGTTTAACAAGTTAACCTCAGTTTTTGGATAATTGCATTAGTTGAATAATCAGTACGTATAATTAATGCAGTTAAGCAAAATTTACGCAATATACATAATACAATATACATATTATGTACTTACAATTAAATATAAAACTTAAAATTTAATATTAAATTTTAGAAATTATTTCACCCATGGAGAAGAACAAAACGACAAGACCATCTAGTTCAGATAGTGAAGAAGAATTAGTAACTAATGATTTCAAAGAAAATCGAAAAAGAGAATTATAGAATAATATTCGTCTTCAGGGGATGAAGATACAGATAACAATGGAGAAAAGATTGATGAAACATACATCCAAAAAGTGCAAAAGATTAAACGGAATTCAGGAAAAAGATATTGTACTTGTTCGGAACTAGCCCGAATATATGATAGCTCCGGAGAGCTGGCTGGAAGTACGGGATCGCAGAGCGACGTCCGCCTGCGTCTAGGCTCGCTCGAGTCCGCTCGGTGACCGACCGGTCGTCCTGATCAAAGGCCGGGGCCTCGTAAGGCGACCACGGACCCTGCTGATCAAGCAACGTCGCGCGCCGACTGGGCCATGCCCAGGGACGGCGGCGAGAACAAGAGAGAAGAAGCACGCGCACGTGCCGACGTAAAGTGACACGCAGTGTAAAACGCAATGGACGCAATAAACGCAGTAGTAACGCAGAAGAGAATAACGCAGAAGAACAACGCAGAAGAACATAAACGTAGCTATATACAAGCGAAACAACATCGCTTACGCAAGTCCCGCAGAACACACGTCCGTGACGTCAACGGTGCGCGGCACCCGAAGCATGCCAAGGACGTGCAACGAAACGACCTCCGTCGTTTCGGATGGCCTGCCCTTCCGGACGTAACGGCCAATAGCCAGCCACGGTCCCGAGGACGCATGGAAATGGAGCTCCGAGAGCTCTGGCTCGCAGGACGACCAAGTCGCTCCTGCGAGAAAGCCAAGTTCCCAATGGACACTTGGACGAAGGAGCGCGAACGTTCTAGGACTGCGACCGAGCCGCTCCAAAACCGCCAAGGCCCCCTACGGACACTTGGGCAATAAGGGAGCTCGAAGCTCCGAGGTGACGGTCGAGTCGCTCCTAAGATCACGGCAACGCCGTGAGCCCGAGATCACAAAACGAGATTCGAACCATTAGCCTCAACCCAGCAGGGTGTATCGGCGCCACCTTCAACTCAGCAGAGTATATAGAGCAGTGGTTCGAATCTGAAACGAAATACCGATCGCCCTAGGAAGCCTAGAAAGCGCGTCGGTAATCACCAGTACACGATGCACTAACGCGTAGCACTACTTGCTACCTAAAACTGGCCAGGCAGAAGACAAGGCAAGGCAAGGACCAGGCACCGCGCGCCTGGTTATATATCCGGGCGGTCGAATCTTGCCCGCGGGCAGCGGAATCGCGAGCCGCGCCGTGTAGCGGCCGTGGTTGAACCTAGTGGGGGTCCCGCGCGCTCGCTCGCGAGAACCCGCGTCCCCCGCCGCTAGCGAGAACGCCCCGGGAACCAGGCCGCCCGCCCTGCAGCGTTGACTCGCACCGACTTTCCGTACGGCATCACGTGCCGTACGGAACATACCGCCCGCCTCCGTCGCGGCGACGGAAGTCAGTGGTGGAACAAACCCCACCAGGAAGGCCGCACTCGCGGCCTGGCGGCCGTGAGGGCCTGTTGAACCCCTTCATGTTGAAGGTTGATTGGGATGAGCCCCTTTCGGATCCACAGGGAGCCTCACCAGCTTGACCAGTGGCCGGGTCAAGGTCGAGTCCGCTGTGCGCACCTGCGCAATGCGGACGTGCCATCCGGGCCAGGCAACAAGCCGGTGATGTGGCCGAGAGGCCACCGAGTAGGAGAAAATCGGCTATCCGCCAAAATCACGAGGTCGCCGATGTCCAACGGACGAGAAGCGACGAGCCACTTGCCCCGGACCTGCAGCTGGGCTAGATATTCTCTAGACCATCGCTCCCAAAGATGCTCCGTCATATGCTGGAGCAGCTGCCAGCGCCTCAACCTCGCGATCTGAACGTCCCCGAGGGATCGCTCAGGCGGACACAACAGCGGGCGCCCAATCAGGAAGTGTCCAGGTGTCAGGGCCTCCAAGTCCTGTGGGTCGTCCGTCAACGGACACAATGGCCTGGAGTTGAGACAGGCCTCAATGCGAGCTAGAAGAGTGGCGAACTCCTCAAAGGTCAGTGCCTGCTCTCTTATTACCCGTCGCAGGTGGTATTTGACGGACCGCACTCCTGCCTCCCACAGTCCGCCGAAATACGGAGCTGAAGGAGGCATGAACTTCCAGGTGGTGCCCTGGTTACTCAAGGAGGCCGCGACCGGTCCCCCCAACGCCATGACCGCCTCAAATTGCCCTCGCAGCTCGCGGTCCGCACCCACGAATGTGGTCCCCTATCGCTGTATACGGTAACCGGCAGGCCCCGCCGGGCCGCGAAACGATGAAAGGCCGCTAAGAAGGTCGGGGCCGAATAGTCACTGACCACCTCCAAGTGGACTGCGCGCGTGCTGAAGCAGACGAAGACAGCAATATATCTCTTGGAGGTGGTACGTCCGCGTCCTCGAGACGGACGCACCGCGACCGGTCCAGCATAATCCACCCCGGTGGCAGAGAACGGTGGATGGGGCAACACCCGATCGCGAGGCAGCGGAGCCATGAACGGGGTGATCGGGGTGCCTTTATGGCGTGTGCAGCGCACACAGCCCCGTATCACCTGGCGCACTAAAGAGCGCCCAGCTGGAATCCAGAATTCGCGCCTCACGGTGAGCAACGTAAGCTGCACTCCCCCGTGCAGCGTGCGTTCGTGCGCATCTCGCACAACGAGAGTCGCGAGCCGAGAGCGTCGCGGCAGCAGGACTGGCTGCCGCGCATCGATCGGTAACGCTGAGAATTGCAGGCAGCCCCCCACCCGCAAGAGGCCCCGCTCGTTCATCATGGGATTGAGTGGCCGCAATGCCGATCTCACCATCAATGCTCCCCCCCGCCTCAGACGGCCCAACTCCTCCGCGAAGAAGCGGTGCTGCGTAACCCGCAGCAGGCACAGTCGAGCTTCACTCAGCTCGTCCGCCGTTAAGGGACCACTGATCCGTGGGACTCGCAGGAATTGTCGTACATAGGCCATCACGCGGATGGCCTTGCGGAAGGAGCATGCTCGGAGGACACCGGACCAGTCCTCCGGGTTCACGGCCACCACGTGAACCATGCGCCGTTCCTCGCAAATGCTTCGGTCGACCGCGACACAAGTTAGACCCGGCCAGCCCGCCGGGTCCTCGACAAGCCAGGAGGGGCCACGCAACCAAAGGGCGTGTTCTCGTAGCCCGCCGGCCAACAAACCCCGGGAAGCGCAATCCGCGGGATTGTCGCCGGACGGGACATGCCGCCACGAGGCCCGCGGAAGGCTCTCGTGAATGTACGAGACGCGATTGGCGACAAAGGTGGTCCATCGAGATGGATGCCCTGTTATCCAATGGAGCGTGACAGAGGAGTCGGTCCAACAAACCAGGGGGGCCTCGGCACAACCGAGCGCCTCCACAATGGCCTTCATGAGGCGCGAGAGCAGCTGCGCACCGCACAGCTCCAGGCGGGGCAACGATACCCGCTTTAGTGGGGCGACCCTGGTCTTGGACGCCAATAGAGCGACACGGGTGGTCCCATCAGACCGTCGAGCCCGTAAGTAGATGACGACGGCGTACGCCCGCTCCGAGGCGTCCGAGAAGCCGTGAAGCTGGATCTCCACTTCAGGCGACCATCCGGTCCAACGAGGAACTCGGATTGGAACGCGGAAACCTCCGCGAGCCCGGTGCTAAAGGCGTCCCAACGTCGCGAGAGCGGAGAAGGGAGAGCCTCGTCCCAACCGAGCCCGGCCAACCACAAGTCCTGAAGGAGTATCTTCGCCAGTACTACCATAGGCCCTAACCAGCCCAGGGGGTCGTATAATCGCGCAACGACTGACAAGATACCACGCTTCGAGATGGCCGATGGAGCCCCGGGGTTGACCGAAAAGCAGAAGGCATCCTCGACCGGAATCCAACTGACCCCCAGCACAGATGACCCCACGGCCCCAGGGTCCGGCAGAGGCACCAAAGGCTCGCGGTCCCCTCCCGTGATACCGGACAAGAGTTCCGGATGTGAGGCCGCCCACTTCCTGAGTCGGAACCCGCCCGCCATGAGCAAGCTGCTCAGCTCACGCTGTCGATGGCGTGCCTCCCCAAGGTCATCTGCCCCCGCAAGAATATCGTCGACGTAGGTTTGTCGACAAAGTAAGTCTGCTGCCCGGGGATAACGTTCCCGCTCATCCAGCGCCAGCTGGTGCAGCGTGCGGATGGCCAGATAAGGAGCGCACACCATGCCATAGGTGACCGTGGTCAACCGATACACCGATATTGCCTGCGTCTGGCTGTCTCGCCAGAGAATCTGTTGGAGGTGTTGATCCTCCGGAGCCACCCGCACTTGACGAAACATTTACTCGATGTCTGCAGAGAAGGCCACTCGATGCATGCGCCAGGCAAGTAGAATCTCGCCCAGTTCTCGCTGTAAGCGCGGCCCCACGTGCACCAAGTCGTTCAACGACCGGCCATTGGTGGACGCCTGCGAGGCGTTGAACACCACTCTTACCTTAAGCTCGGGGGCTTGTTTAATCACCGGGTGATGTGGAATAAAGTAAGAGGGCCGCGGGGTCTCGACATTGAGCGGCAGGCAGATCATATGCCCCTGTCGTTCATAGTCATCAAGAAAGTCGCGATAGGCCCCGCCCAAGGAAGGCTGCCGAAGCAGTCGCCGCTCCAAGCGATGCAACGAGGCAGTGGCAATCCGCCGAGTGTCGCCGAGAGACAGCTCAGTCGGAGGGTTCCTGAAAGGCAACCGCATCTGATAGCGGCCGTCCGCACGACGCCGAAAGGACGCCGCGAAAAACTCTTCACAAGCCCGCTCCTCCTCAGAGAGCGGGGAAGCAACCGGAATCTCCTCCACCTCCCAGAAGCGCCGCAAGAGATCCGCCATGTTGTCCGACGCACACTGCATCACATGACAATGAGAGCCGCCCGCTCCGGCGGCAGACGGGAGAGCCCCGAACAGCACCCACCCCAAGCGGGTACGCTGCGCGACGGGAGCTCCCCGTGGCCCCCGGCGAAGCCCCGTCAACACGATCTCGGCGAATACCTCCGCTCCAAGTATCGCCTCGACGCGCTCGTCCTCATCGTGATCATCCGCCAACCGGAGGTTCCTCAAATGCGACCACTTCCCCGTCAGCCGAGCCCTCTGCGGGGGGTGGTACGCCGTAAGCCTCGGTATAATGAGGGCCTCCACCGTGGTGGAGAACGGGAGGCCAGCAGTTGCCCTGAGCCGCAATGACGTGCTGGCCCGCACCCGCTGAGGGGGTCCCTCTGAGACGCCCGACAGCCCAACATCCACCGATCGACGAGACGCGCGCAGCCGCTGCGCAAGCGCCTCGGACACCAGGCTCACCTCAGAACCCTGGTCAATGAGCGCTCGAACCACAGCGGATCGGCCATCGGACGCCATCAGACAAACCCTGGCTGTGGCCAAAAGAACTCGCTGCGCGGGCATCCGCGTCGCAGCATGCGCCGTGACCGGCGCTTCCCCCGACGCCGGGGCCGGAGACTGCCGAGCGGAGTGCAGAAGTGAATGGTGCGGCTCTCCGCACTCCCGACATCGACCCTTAGACGGGCAAGCGGCCGCCTGGTGCGACGGACCGAGGCAGTTGAAGCACAACCCGAGAGCGCGCACCCTTGCCCGTCGCGAAAAGACCGGCCGATCTTTAAAGGCCGAACACTCTCTGAGTCCATGCTCAGAACCGCACTCAGCGCAACGGGTCGGCTTGGGCCGATGAAGATGTAGCGATCGTCGACTAGTCCGCTCGGATGCCGATGAGGCACGGGGGCCGTCCCCAATGGACGGAGCCGCGGCAACCGCCTCGAGCGCCACCCGACGCTCGTCCAGGAAGACTGCCAGTCGATCCCAGCTCACTGGCTCGCGCCGGTCCGCGGTGGCCATCTCCCAGGCCCGCCGCGTTGCAGAGTCTAGCTTGGAACGGAGGATATTGACCAATATCACGTCCCAAGCATCCACTGGCTGGTCAAGAAGGCGCAAGGCGGCTCGCAGCTCGCTGGCTCGATCCAACAGCCTCCGAACCTCGAGACGCTCTCCTGACGCATCGGGCCAATATCCTGGAAAGCGTCGAGATGCTGGTCCACAAGCAAACGACGGTTATCGTACCGTGCACATAGCGCTTCCCACGCTTGCTCAAACGAGCCAGTAGCGACGCCGTAGTGCCGGAGCAGACGTTCGGGCTCTCCCGACACGCTCTGTTTTAAATAATGCATCCGGTGAACTGATGCTAACGACGGGTTATCGACTATTAAGGACTCGAAGAGATCCTTAAAATTGCGCCATTCGTCAAACTTCCCTTCGAACTTCGGAATGGGAATGCGAGGCAACGAAGCCTCGGGCACTACTGCCTGCGCCGGGACTGCGTGAGCAGCCGACTCAGCCTCCTGAACCTTCAACCCATCGAGCAGGGTTTGGATTTCTGCACGCTGCGCAATGTAGACTTCCTGCACCGTGCCACAGGCATCCTGTCGCACGTAGTCCGACTCTCGCACGGTCTTGAGGCGAGACGCTCGGATTGTGCGATGATCATCCTGGAACTGAGCCCAGTACGTGTCGAGAACCTGCAAACGAGACGTCAACTCGCTAACTGACTTCAGTTGACCGGACTTGCGTGCATTGTCCAGCAGCCGCTCCATGCGGTGCTGCCGGTCGTATTGCAGCTCGATGAGCCCAAGAATGTCCTCCTCCTTAGACATAACGGAGCCCGAGCTAAACAACTCGACCCAGGTCCGAGACTACCGCTCCCGATCCGACTCGAAGGACCAAAATTATGTTCGGAACTAGCCCGAACATATGATAGCTCCGGAGAGCTGGCTGGAAGTACGGGATCGCAGAGCGACGTCCGCCTGCGTCTAGGCTCGCTCGAGTCCGCTCGGTGACCGACCGGTCGTCCTGATCAAAGGCCGGGGCCTCGTAAGGCGACCACGGACCCTGCTGATCAAGCAACGTCGCGCGCCGACTGGGCCATGCCCAGGGACGGCGGCGAGAACAAGAGAGAAGAAGCACGCGCACGTGCCGACGTAAAGTGACACGCAGTGTAAAACGCAATGGACGCAATAAACGCAGTAGTAACGCAGAAGAGAATAACGCAGAAGAACGACGCAGAAGAACATAAACGTAGCTATATACAAGCGAAACAACGTCGCTTACGCAAGTCCCGCAGGACACACGTCCGTGACGTCAACGGTGCGCGGCACCCGAAGCACGCCAAGGACGTGCAACGAAACGACCTCCGTCGTTTCGGATGGCCTGCCCTTCCGGACGTAACGGCCAATAGCCAGCCACGGTCCCGAGGACGCATGGAAATGGAGCTCCGAGAGCTCCGGCTCGCAGGACGACCAAGTCGCTCCTGCGAGAAAGCCAAGTTCCCAATGGACACTTGGACGAAGGAGCGCGAACGCTCTAGGACTGCGACCGAGCCGCTCCAAAACCGCCAAGGCCCCCTACGGACACTTGGGCAATAAGGGAGCTCGAAGCTCCGAGGTGACGGTCGAGTCGCTCCTAAGATCACGGCAACGCTGTGAGCCCGAGATCACAAAACGAGATTCGAACCATTAGCCTCAACCCAGCAGGGTGTATCGGCGCCACCTTCAACTCAGCAGAGTATATAGAGCAGTGGTTCGAATCTGAAACGAAATACCGATCGCCCTAGGAAGCCTAGAAAGCGCGTCGGTAATCACCAGTACACGATGCACTAACGCGTAGCACTACTTGCTACCTAAAACTGGCCAGATATTTTATAAAAATATTTTATATTTTGTTTAGAAGTCATTATACAAAGAGTTTATACTATGTTATAAGCGCCGTCTGCGCCTACGCGCGCAGAGATAGCCGAAGCGTCCGCGTTGAAGGGAATATGAGCGTGAGTGGCCCGCGTCTGAGAGAAGGAGAGAGAGACAGAGGAGGAGAGAAAGAGAGGGAGAGAGTGGAAGCGCGCAAGCGCAAGTGTATGGAAGGATGTCGGGGAGATGCGAAAGCGTCGATCGGAAAGAAGTCTCGCTCGAGCAACGACAGCGGCAGGACGCATGCCGGCGAGTCCTCATTGAACCCCGTAGACGCGACGCGAATAGGCGAGTAACCAACGGCGGATAGGGCCTCTTTAGCGTAAAAGTTTGAGAATAAAGACTTATTGTGAAACGCATGGTGTTAGAACATTGTTTCCGGGATCCTCGTCCATCGTCGGACACCTACGCCGTGGCAGAAACAAAGTGGACGGGTGGCCACCATCCTTTTCGAACTTATGGACCTGCATTCTTCACCCTCTGGACTTGAGGAAGGACTCGCAGTCCGGTTACAATCAAACCAACCAAAGCATCAGAACTGCGAGGATCGGGACCAACAGATCCTATTCGAGATCATTCTGACCCGGAGACGTCAGTCCGGGGTCATCCTGACCGCGAGGAGTCCGTCCAGGATCATCTTGACCCCAGGTGTCCTCAAGGGGTCATCATGACCGCGAGGTGTCTTCGAAGGATCGTCCTGACCCCGAGATGTCTTCGAGGGATCACCCTGATCCCGAGGTGTCTTCGAGAGATCATCCTGACACCGAGATCCTGACCTCCGAGGAACGATGTCAACTGCAGGGCAACGATCCTGACCCAGAGGAGCCAGGCCGGAAGAACGAGGCCGCAGGATGTCCCGAAGCAGGTACCGATGACGACAAGCAAGTGATCTTAAAATGGCTTACCGAACCTGAGTGGACTTAAGACATCCTAAGTGACCTCGGGAGATTACGTGTAGTACATCGAAAGTGATCTCGATTCATCGGTGATTACTAGCGATCTCGGCCGAGATCAAGAGTGGTACGCTGATAGTGACCTCGAGCAATCGGTGATCTCGGGTAATCTGAAGATCAAGACCGAGACCTCCCGAGGTGATTTAAGATCAGTTACATAAGAATGTTTGTTTTAGTTTGTTTTTTATACCATGTGACTAGAATTTATAGAATCTTTTATTTTGTTATGTCCAATGGTTTTGCGAGACCAGGGATCATGGCGATCTCGTGATAGAAACCTAGTCTACTTATTTTAATTATACTTTTTCTTAAGGATACTTACCTGTAATAGCGTACCTAAGAAGGATCTCGAGGGGCCGTTTACCGCGAGATTCGCCAGCGACCTGAAAGAAGAATCATAATTAGTATCTTTTATTTATACTTACCTAGTAGATTGCATCCCACGACGTCCCACAGTGACCTGTGGACAGAGAAAAGATTAATGGTAGAAATGTACGAGTTATGTTGTATTTACCTTATATGATCACGTTCTCACGATGTCCTGCGGTGACCTGAGAAAGAGGAAAGACATATTAGTATTAAGTAGTATATAAGTATATATATATATATCTAAATGTTGTTGATTTATAAGAGATTTACAAGCTCATGTTTTATTTTATAATCATTAAACAACGAGAGTAATGTTAAGTTGTAAGGCGTCGTCTACGCATGCGCGCGCAGGTAAGCGTCAGCGCGGAAGAAGCGAGCAGAGCACACGACTGGAGAGATAGAAGGGAGAATAGGAGAGAGAGAGAGAGAGAGAGAGAGAGAGAGAGAGAGAGAGAGAGAGGAGATATGAGAGTCCGGAAGGCGCGCAAGCACTTACCGAATAAGAATCAAGCTTGGACCGTTGAGATATCCGCTCGCGTGAAGAGCCGCTCCGTCAGCGCGACGTTACTGCGTAGTTGTTCGACTCGGTGACCGGGAAGTGCCCTCGCCGCAACGTGTAGACGCCGCCGATGCGTAAATAATCCACATTGTAATCGAAACACTTTCGTGTGTAAAGGCATAACAATAAAAGGAATTTTACTGTGAAGTGCGGTGATAGTATTTATCTCGGGATCACCGTCCATCTCCAGATTGCGGCGCCGTACGATAAAGAACAGGACGGGTGGCGACCAATTCCATACCTTTGAACCTGCATTCTTCATCCCTCGGACTCCAGGAAGGACTCGCAGTCCGGTTACAATCTCAAGTACTCCTTGATAGACCAAGAATAGTGACTTAAGGGATATTTCCCAGTGACTCAAGGACGTCTAAAGTTGTCCCTCGAGCAGTATTCGAGTATCGCTGAATGCGAATAGGTACTACTCAAGGGATACTTAAGATTTTCCAAAATGTGGAAATCGTTTTAAAACAGTTGTTTTGAGATTAGCAGTTTCGGGCAAATTCCCACGAAGACCTGCAACAAAAAAGAATTACGATTAATACAAATATAAATATTATTTTATACTTACCAACGATCCGCAGCATCCAGGAAAGTATCGCGATGACCTGCAATAGAAAAAACAATCATTCGAATAAAATTTAATTATATTAAACTAGCCTTGAATCGCATCCGGCGAAGTTAACGCGTATTAGATTAAGTTTATATAGTTATACCTATATATATTTATATACAGATTTTTATAATTCATATTACGACTGCGGGAAATCATTCTTAAGTGATTATAAATCAATAGAAGTATTTTTGTTAAATTTAAGCGAATGATTGGCAATGTCGGTAATACCGGCAGGGTAAAGCGCCCTCTACGCAGACTCACGAGGCAGGGCACACGTCTCATTGTAAGTTTCGTCTCTAGAAAGAGCCAATGGTCTCTCTCGAAGAGGCGAAGCGCGCGAAAGCGCTAAAAAGTCGTTAGTGACGAGCCGGCCCGGACGGACGCGTGTAGTGACCGCTCCTCCGAACTTCCACCCGACGCGTAGTACCGCGTAACGTGCCGAGATAAAACCCCGACGTATGGAGATGGTGCGACGTGGCTGCCACGCCGAAGAATCGCGTAGAGATATTCCGCGACTTTTGTTTAAATAACGCGTAGAAAGTTCCACGTTTGTTATATATTACGCCGCAACCGAGCAGACCACGCCCAGTGTATTAGATGGACCTTTTATAATAAAAGGAAAATTCCTCGCAATATACGTGCCAGTGTTCATTTTTTCCGGCAATCCCATCCTTACCGGGGAGGAAGCCACCGCGCGTACAACCCACGGACGGGTGGCGACCGACAAATCTACGAAAAGGACCTGCTTCTTCGTCTACCGTGCTCAAGCACATTCTTCTGGTCCGGCTACAACCTAATCCAAAGCTCCTTCATCACGACGAGGTGACGCACCCCGAAGGAGAAATAGGTAGATCCTAACTTGATGAGTCCATCCTTGAAGATTCTAACTTGCCGAGTCCAATCTTAGAGATCCTAACCTGAAAAGAAAAAGAAAAATATTAGTAAATAGTCATCGTAACTAAGTAGATACTTACCAGTAAGTCCCTGACAGGTGGAAATCTGAAAAGAAAAGAAAAGATTAGTATATAGAGTCACCATAATAGAACAAGGTAATATAGGTAAAAGTTGACATAGTTAATACCATAGTACGGTCACAAGCGTAGTATTATACTCGTATAGCTCGTTTGATGTAAGTGACACCATAATTGAGAAATTGGTTATGGATAGGTAGCCATACTGAAGAAATAGCTGAGCGCCATAAATCACCTATTAAGATGAAACACAGCATGGTGATAGAACCTAGAATTACGTTTGATAAACGCCTAAAATGTAAATATAGCGTTTGGCGTGTTTTAGTAGTATATAGAAACCATAGAGCAAACAACTCACTTAATCAGAGAAATCATAGAATGGCGAAGAGAGTTTGAATTTCCTGAAGAAAGAACACCATCTATGATTGAATATGGGAAGTCGAAATTCA